TTTAAAATAATCAAATTTCAGCAACTTTTTCAAGCAAACGAAAAAACTGTATTTTTTTACCACCCTGTATTGAAGTAACGGAGATTAGGCTGACGTGTGGGAAGTGTCCAAGTATCACCTAACTCCAAACCAAATTTCGATATCATAGTACTTCTTAACTAAAAGATATCGGCATTTTTAGAAGTCATGATTTTCGAAGAAAAAAATTGAAATTAATTTTTATTTCGAAAACGGTAACAGATAGGTATGGGAAAATATCAAGAAAAGTTGTCGGGCAATTGTTGTAGATTCCAAAAATAATATTACATACAGAGTATTCCATTTGAAAAATCAAAGTTGCTACTGCTTTCTAATAGAAGCAGCACCACCGCATTGTTGAAAATATTTTAGTTTGCTAGAGATTGTCCGAATATGCCCTCCATTAAATTTTCAAAGTGATCCGTTGTCTGGTTCACCAGAAACGTCTAATGTGCCATCCACCGTGAATCAGCCTGTATTGCATGGATGTCGATTGGATATAATTCCATATTCAGCATGGTATTAGCCGGGAAAGTAGTTGTTTCCGGCAGGCATTTACCAGAACCTACTGTGTAGGTAGTTGGGATAAAGATTAGTGTTCCGAAATTTTATTTCGAAATATTTATTTTCTTATACGTATGTGTCTTTCCTCGATACAGTCTTCAGATATAAATTAGCAAGTTCATATTTTAACAGTTGTGTTTCAATAATTTTCAATCGCGAGTGAGTCTTGAGAATTTTCTACTACGTGATATGTTCTGAAATGTCACACTTATTCATTGAACTGAAATTTCGTTCTGAAGTATACCGTTTTTAAGCAGTCATGAATAAAAATGTAAACTCAAGAAGTGAAACGAATATATCTCACCAGAAATTTTCAATGTGGTAAAAATTCAATATTTTTCAAACGTGCTCCTTTACTAGATAACAAAATGAGGGTAATTGGTACATCAAATACTTTTATGTTACAGCTACATTTATGTACATTCATTGGCATGAAATATACAATTCACCTAATTGAACCGCATAGATCCCAAGTCCGTGATCTGAATGGAAAGTAGTATATGTTAGTTTGAAGGTAGTTGACAATGTTTCTTGGTGCATTTCATTGGCTCGGACTTCCATTGTCTGATATGATATAAATTGATTTGAAATACCTGAAAGAATCTGTAAAAAATTAAAAAAGAGCAGAAACTATCCCGAAGTTAGTCAGGAAACAAAGCCGGAAATTCACTTACAGATTGATATATCCTCAGGCCAAACAAGCAGAAATCAAGAAATGGGTAATGCTAACATATTTTGGAAAAAGAACAGAAATAATCGCAGGTTCCTTCAGAAAAAATATTATGGAAGTAGCATTCAGACCACATGCCAGGTTATCTCATTTCCTTTTCAATGCCAAAGATAAGGTCGGCAAGTTGGAAAAATCTGGAGTTTATAAGCTTAAGTTTCCGGAGTATAATAGTGTTTATGTGGGACAATGCGGACGAAATTTCCAAAAACGGTATGCTGAACATGAAAGGTCCTTCAGACTAGGAAAAAATGATTCGACGTTTTCAAACCATTCCTTGGCATGCAACCACAAGTTTTCGAATCTAAACGATACGGAAATGCTGCACTATGCAAGGAAGGGTTGCAAACTCAATTATTTAGAATCCTTGGAAATTCACAAGCATAAACATTGCGGGTGCAACCTGTTGAATGATCAAGTTGATTTAATTTACTCTCCGGTTTCTAAATTGGCACATCCGCATTGTGAACTGCAAATACAGGTACTCAATCAAGTACCTGAATGGTATATGTTGGCGAATGTAATGAATCATTGTTAGTTCATTATATAAGTTTGAGAATGTCCATATAGGACGAAACTACAGTAACGTTAGTTACAATTAAAAGTGGTAAAAAACATAGAAATTTTCATTTCTCTTTTCATTATGTATATTGTATATTAATTTATTTATCTTTTAGGTGTACAATTAACTCATACAGACACATTGTACAAATAAGACAAATCACGGCTATGTAGAGCGAACAGTTTAAAATATATCATAAATGGTATATATAAATATAGACATATATCAAAGTTAATATCATTAGAAAAGCTAATACAAGCACTAGATCATTGGCATTATATCTAGAGTTGGGCACCCATATATTCATCCATTGAATAGAATGTGTTTGAGATAACATGATTCTTTAGGTATTTTTTGAAAGTCTTGTAATCGAAAGCTCCAACATGAGGAGGCAAGATATTATAACAGTCAACGTTCATAGAATTGTTTCTTGATTTGTCCAATCTGAATCTGTTCGGTCGTATGAGTAGGTGGCTCCTAGTATTATGATCATGGACATCAGCATCAGTTTAGAGATTGCTTTTACTTTTATGTATTTCTAAGAGTGAATGATCTATAAATATAGATGGCAAAGTCATAATTTTCAATGTCGCGAAAAGGGGTCTGCAGGAATCACTCTGCTTGGCCTGTGAGATTATTCTTACCGCCTTTTTCTGAAGAACAAAAACTTTATTAGCTTCAGTACTATTACCCCATTGAATTGTTCCATATGATATGTGAGAGTAAAAGAACACATGATAGGCAGATAATAAAGCATGATCACTAATCATAGTCCTCAGCTTTCGAAGAAGGAATATATATTTTGATATTTTCAAACATAGCTGCTCTACGTGATCTGACCAGTTCAGGGAATCATCAAGGGTGATACCCAGCAGTTTAACATGATGTCCGTTTACAACAGAGGCATTAGTTGAAAAGTATAGTTTTTGGGTTTTAATTTTATTCAGCATGAGATTGTTGCACCTTGCTGTTGCATTCTTGCTAGTGCTGAAGA